TCACAATCCCCCTGGGAACCCTGAAGCTGGGTGTGCCCTGCACCTGTGGCCAAGTGGCCTCACCTTGCGGCTATGCTCATTCCCAGTGGCTGACAGCTGACCAATCTCTGGGTTGGGCTCCAAGAACAAAGATGAGCAGCCCATTTTGCAATCAAAATACAGAAGTTGAACTTGTGGTTGGGGTGTGGTGAAGGGGTAGTGACTCAGCATCAGGCAGAGGAGTAGGAGGAGAGGGATCTGGGGAAGGCTCAGGGCTGTGTAACTGCTGTGGGAGACCCTGATGGAGCTCCTGGCTCCTGACTGCTGCTCCCTGTTCACTCATGCACACTTGAGAGGAGGCAGCAGTGGATGGCTCAGGGCCTTCTGCACCTGCTGCACCTGCCTGGGATACTTTAATGGAATTCCTGGATCCAGACTGAAACTGACTGCTCAAGCACACCTGGTAGGCAGTGCACCTACTACCACCCACGTGGGACATGAGGATGGAGCTCCTGGCTCCTGACTGCAGCTTCCTGCTTATGCACACCTGGGAGGTGGGAGGGTGTGGTGGACCATAAGGACTGATAACAGGCCAGCGTATACATCACAGGAATTTAATTCCTTCCTGAAATCTTGGAACATACAGTCTGCCACAGGTATCCCATACAACCCACAGGGACAGGCAATCATTGAAAGAACTCATAGGACGATTAAAGATCTCTTACAAAGACAGAAAAACAATCATATGCCCTCAGACCCACAGCTTTCTTTGACTGAGGTCCTTTTCACTATCAATTTTCTTACTTTTGATTCCCAAGGGATAAACCCAGCTTATAAACACTGGGGATCCTTTCCATTCCAGACCCCAGCCCTTATGGTTAGGTGGAAAGACCCCTTGACAGGAGAATGGAAAGGACCACACCCTCTGCTAACCAAAGGTCAAGGGTATGCTTGTGCCTTTCCAGAGAATGCGGAACAGCCAATTTGGGTACCAGCCAGAAACATCAAGCCTGCAACTGACAGCCAACCAGAACCAGCTGAACAAGACTGAGAATCTGCCTTGTTAGCAGATTCACATGCCCTATCATCCTACCCTAAGAAACTGCCCATAGCCATATCTGTTACTGTTTTGTACCCCACTAGCTCTGGTCAGCCACTCAAACGGCCTACAGCCTGTGTGCGGTCATGCCATTCCTGATTACCTGTGGGGAGCAACTGGGAGCAACTCGGACTAGACTAAGTTACTGGAATTAAGACTTATTCTATGCATCTGCTTTCCCACAATATGGCGCTGGGAGAGGAGAAAACAGCTTCTACTCAGCTGCCTCCAGTTCAACCAATAAACTGTAGGACCTGCTCCTGATTGGAGGAGAGCAGCGTACTCGGCGTGTGGGCAGCCGAGTTGGGATTGGCGGAGGAGGACTATAAAGGAGGAGAGAGACAACATGCACCAGGAACATCTAAGGGGAACATCTAAGGGGAACACCTGTGCAGCCCCCGAGAGAGCCGGCCGGCGGTGTGCCGCTCCCCTGCGGAAGTGGGGAATGTGGCCAGGGGGAACCGCCCTTCCACGGAGGTGGAAGGGACGGTAGCCAACCCGGGAAGAACCAGCAGCAAACCCGGGGAGGGCCGAGCAGACGAAAGAACAGCGCAGGGTCCTGTGTCGTTCCTCCATGAAGAGGGGGAGCGACAGTTACCATTGTTCCTCATTCCTACCCCTTTCTGAGCAAGCACTCCTGTGGTCTCTCAATTTGAGCACTGGTTAGTCAATGACGGGTAAGATCCCCTGGGGGACAACCTAAGACAGGCACAGTTGCATACGGAGACCACATGGAAACGGGGTCAACAATGGTATGGCCAAGAATCATGCCTCCTGTTGCTCAAAAATAAACAAAAAGGGGGAAATGTGGTGGAATGAGAAGGCCATGCCAAGATGGCTGTTGGCAAGGGAGCATCAGTTACTCAGGAATGGCTTTGAATCCCACCTGGCAATGGGGCCTGCCTGGCAACAGGCTGTGATTGAACGGCTTTGAAACCCACATGGCAAACGGAGCCTGACTGGCAACGGGCTGTGATTGGATGGCTTTGGAAACTGCCTGGCAACAGGCTGTGATTTATTGGGGCATAGACCACCCCTTGACCAGATTGGCTGGTCTTGGCTATATAAGCTGTTGTACTAACTGAAATAAACGAGTCTGCGGGCTGCTTGCCTCAAGCCCGCTTTCACCCGACTCCTGGGGTCTGTGTGGTGACTCCACGCCTCTTGCTCCCACCACGTTCCTCCTCTCAGAAACGAATCCACTGCAACATTGTTGAGAAATCAACTACAACAGGAAGGGGTTTTATATATTAGTAGTAGTAGTAGTAGTAGATTAGACCATCATAAGAGTGAAGCCTCTTCTGAGACTGACAGTGTAGTAATCCCTGCATAATGAGATTGACAGAAACTGGAAGCAGCATTGGGGGTTTCCAGGCTGGCCAGGGGTGAATGGAGAGAGGCAGGGGCTGTTTCTCTGCAAGAGGGAGAGAGGGAGAGAGGGAGAGAGGAAGAGAGGGAGAGAGGGAGAGAGAGAGGGAGAGAGAGACATGAGATAGACACATGGCAGAGGTTGGTGGCAGCTTGGGAGAAGGCAACAGCAGGGGCTGGCTCAGGGCCTTGTGTACCTACCGCACTCATGTGAGAGACCTGGGTGGAGCTCCTGGCTCCTGGATGCAGCTACCTGCTCATGTACTCCTGGGAAGTAGAAGGGAAGATTATGATTATTATTGGCTGCCAGAAAAGTGAAGCCTATTCTGTACCTGACACTGCAGAAGTCCCTGTGGTTAGAGGGTAAACCACCAAGCTTATATTGTCAGGAAGCAGGAACGGGGGTTTCCAGGCTGCCTGCGGGGGAGAGTGGCTGTTTGCAAGATGGACACAGAGAGAGCTAGACAGATGGCTGGGGCTGGTGGCAGCCTCGGAGGCAGCCTTTTGAACACAAAAGTGGGAGACTGAATGGAGCTCCTTGCTCTTGACTGCAGCTTTCTGCTCATGCACACCTGGGAGGAGGTTTAGGAGAAGGCTCCTGCTGCAACCATGAGGGAGACCTGCTTGGAGCTCCTGACTCCTGACTACAGGTCCCTGCTCATGCACACCCTGGGAAGCAGCATAGAATGTCTCAGGGCCTCATGTACCAGCTGCACCCACATGGGAGACCCAGATGTAGCTTACAGCTCCTGGCTTCAGCCCAGAATTTGCACACAGCCCAGATTCTGTACACAGCCCAGAGTCTGCACACAGCCCAGATTCTGTACATAGCCCAAGTTCGTCACATCATCCAGATTCTCCACACGGCTCAGATTCTGCACACAAAGACAGTGCACACAGGCCAGATTCTGTACATGGCCCAGATTCTGCACACAGCCCATATAGTGCACACAGCCCAGATTCTGCCCACAACTCAGATTCTCAGGACACCTGAGATTCACCACACCCTCCAGAGGCACACCTCTTTGTGGTGCCAGGAAATCACCACAAACCACCCCCCCAATGAAACTCTTCCATGTTACATTTAGAAAGAGAAAAAATAAAGGAAAAACAGAGACCATAAATCGCAAGTGGCCTGGGGTGAGGTCTTTCCTGCCCCATGTGCCCCTTACCTGTCCCCAGGTGCCTGGAAGCCTTCTCAGGTCCCAGCAAGAAGATGAGTGGGAATAGAGCAGCTGTGAGGGCCACAGCCTGACTGGGGCAGCTCATGCCTGTGCCTGAAATGATAGACTGACACATGAATGACAGTCATTCAGGGGGTAATTCATCTTGTGAGTGACAAGAAGATGCCATGCCCCTTTGGTGAAGAGACAGAGAAGGAACAAGGGCTAACATGGCAGGAAGGAAACAGACTCAGCCTTGGCATTAAAAAAACACCACATACAACCATTATCCTGTCAATCACTTGGGGATCAAGCCCAGGACATCTCTTGTCCATCACATGAGGATTAGAGCCTTGACACCTTGGGGATGATATCCTGTCTATCATATGTACCACAGGGGGATGAGGACCTGAACATCCTTAGAACAGCATCCTTTCACATGGGGATTAGGACTGGGACATCATCCAATCACGCTGGACCTGGATAACCTGGGAACATTATCCTCTCTGTCACATGGGATAAGGACTTGGACATCCTGGGGATGTCATCCTGTCAATCACATTGGCATTAGGGCCTGTCAAATAGAACCTCCCCTTCCCCCACCCCTCAACTCTGCCTTCCAAATACACATATTTTTTAAAAAAAGAGGAAGTGACTTCTTGAGAAACTCATTGTTCTGTGGCCCTGAGCCTCTACGTCATGCTCACTTCCTCATCCAGCCCATGAGTGACATTTCAGCTCAGAAGATTCCGGAAACTGGGGCTGTCCTGGGCTTTCCAGGGGTGCCAGTGATGTGGCTGCTGGGGGGAGGCAGAACCAAGTGGGGGCTTGCAGTCTGGACTTATGATGGACAGACAGATGAATGATAGATGGATGGGTGATGGACAGCTGGATGGATGGTGGACAGATGACGATGACGTTTGGAGGTAGAGAGGTTGATTGGTGATTGATGGAGATATTCAAACATAAGGACAGAGATATAGGAAAGAGGTTGACAGAGAGGTTAATAGATAAGACAGGTGTTAGATAGATAGGTGATAGCAAAGAAGGAAAGAGAGGTGATTGACAGAATAATAAGTAGGTAGATGATAGGTGATAGATTCACACGGAAGTAGCAGATATAGGTAAAGACACACAATGGACAGACTAAAAAGGAGAGTAGATAGTTGATAGATGGACAGATCAGTCTCTCAGCACCTCACCTCTGTCCCTCCATTCCTTCATTCACATCCCCTGCACACACAATACCCCAGTAGTTAGCACCTCCCTCTTCTTCTTCTTTCCTGCAGGAAGAGTGAGGCCGTGTGCAACCGTGGACGCGAGCTGATCTCATTGGCTGGGGGCTCCGGTTTCCCAATCCTGCCCTAGGAGGAAGCGATATGAGGCGGGGAAGAGGAACAGTAGATGGACAGGCAGGCAGGAAAACAGACAGGCAGACAGGCTGAAGACTAAGAGGAGGAGAGGAGGAAAAAGAGGAGGAGGATTAGGAGGAGGAAGAGGAGGAGGAGGAGGCCTGTCAATCAGCCTCCAGGTAACCCCAGCATACACAAGGTTTACGCCTGCTGCAGCTGCTGCTGAGCTGATTTGCACCTGTTCATGGCTCCCGCTCTAGGTGAGCAGAGTGGGGTGTGGAAGGGGAGGAGAAGTCCTTGGAGGAGGAGGGTGCAGCCTAGGAAACATCTAGAAATTTAGGATCCCCCTTCCTGGGTCTCCCCAGCTCTGATCACTCAGGTGGGTGCACTTGTGTGAGTGTTAGGGACCCAGCAGGAGGACCTGAAGCTCGGCCTCAGCTGTGGCTGCACCTGGCAGGCCCCCCACAGCTGATAAAGGCCTTTGGATTGGAACCAAGATTTAAAAAAAATTTTTTTTCCTATTCCATTAAGGGCTCAGAGTTGACATCTGGGGGTGGGTTATGGGCAGGGAATGACTGGCAGGCAGAGAAAGGAGAAGAGGAAGCCAGGAGGAGGAAGTGGGTGGTCGACAATGGATGTCCCTGGCTGTGATGTGGCACACCAGAGCACGCCCAGCCACTCACTCACCCATCCACCTCCTGGGGGATGGCTCAGGGCCTTGTACACCTGCTACACCCATGTAGGAAATCAGGATGGAGCTCCTGGCTCCTGACTGTAGCTCCGTGCTCATTCAGTCTGGGAGGCAGTAGCAGGCAATGGCTCAGGGCTTTGTGCACCTGCTGCACCCACTTGGGAGACCTGGATGGAGCTCCTGACTGTACTTTCCTGCTCATGTACCTCCCCTCACTGCGCCCCATGAACTCTGTCACTCACCCTCTTGCAATCATTGCAAAAGTCAAGTTAAAAAAGACAAAACTTTTTAAAATGTTCTCAAAACAAACCTGAGCCACATCATCTTTCTAAATGTATCTTATTTTTCACTTCTGTTTCCCCAAATCTATGGGATTTTTAAGAGGGTCCCTGTAACCAGAGGAAAAATGTCCCCAGGATACCCAGTTCCTCATGCCCACGTGATACCATGGCATCCCCAGGATACCCAGTTCCTCAGGCCTACGTGATAGACAGGATGATGTTCCCAGGACGTCCAGGTCCTGATCCCCACATGATTCACAGGAGGATGACATCCCTAGGATGTCTTCTCTCTCTCTCTCTCTCTCTGACTTTTCTCTCCTGCAGGTGTCTTCACAGATGTCCTGATGATATTCCTTGTGCTATCCACCTGGCCTACCCCAGCATTCTTCCAGATCCAGGGAGATCCAGAGGTTGAGGGGGCATATCCCAGCCTCAATGTGACCTTCAACTCTAGGACAATGAACCTAAGCTGGGACTGCCCAGAGAACATGACTGAAGCCAGGTGCTTGCTGAGACATGAGGAGACAGGGAAAATCATCATGAAGGTGAGCACCTAGCCTGAAGGTGAGCCCCCAACTCTGGGCTAGGCTGTCCTTATCATGGAGGGAGAACCAAGATGGCACCCATAGAGAGCCATGGGAAACCCAAGAAGCATGGCCAGCCCATATGTACAACATGTCATACTGGGGGCCTGTACTCCTCTAGGGGACAGCAGAGTCTTACTGAATGGATGGATGGGTGGGTGGATGGATGATGGATGGGTGGGTGGATTAATGGGTGGATGGATAGATGAATGGATAGATGGATGGGTGAATGGGTGGATGTGTAGAGGGAAGGGTGGATGGATGGATGGATGGATGGATGGATTGGTGAATGGATGGATGGATGAGTAGATGGACAGATGGATGGATGGATGGATGGATGGATTGATGGATCGATGGGTGGGTGGATGTATAGATGTATGTATGTATGGATTGATGAGTGGATGGATGGGTGGATACATGGATCTGTGGATGGATGGATGAATGGGTGGATGAGTGGGTGGATGGATGGGTGGGTGGAGGGATGAAGGGATGGAAGGGTAGATGAATGGATGGGTGGATGAGTGGATGGAATGATGGGTGAATGGATGATGGACAGATAGACAATCATAGGTATAAGTTGATGGATGGATTGTCAGATATAAAGTGTAGATGATATAGGTAGAGAGATGCTTGCCACTTAGGATACATATTATGAAAACATAAGTGAGAAAGGTATATATAGATACATTCACAGATTAATGAATAGATGTATGGATATATATTAACATATTAATAAGTGTATAATTAGATGATATACATTGATGGGTAGATAGAAAATGGGTGATGGATATATGTATGTAAGAGAGAGAAAAATATAGATGATGGATATTATGGATAGATGGAGATGATAGGTAGGTAGACAAGACACATTGAAGAGTGGATGACATATGACAGATCAGTAATTGATACAATGGATAGAGATGATGGATATAATAGATATAACATGATAAAGAAATAGAAATGATAAATAGATGGGTACATAGGTACACAGATTGATGATAGATGGGTATGATAAGTGGATAAATCTAATGCTCCACCCACATGGGAAACACAGATGGAGCTCCTGGCTCCTTACTGCCATTCCCTGCTCATGTACATCTGCAAGGAGGCAGCAGCAGGGGGTGGTTCAGGTTCCTGTGCACCTGCCAGGAGTCTCAGGGCTCCTGGCTGTGGCAGGCATTTCGAGAAGTGAACCAGTGTCTGGGGACAGGTCTCCCGGATGGGATGCAGCTGCACCTTCACCTCCATGACACTGCATGCGGGAGCCACACTCGAGGTCCAGGTGACAGCTCATCAGAGACACCTGCGTGAGACTCTGGTCTATGCCAACACAGGTATCTTGGGGCCACGCTCCCCTTGTCTCGAATCCCTCTGCCCTCCGAGATCCCCTCCCACTCCCAAGCCCAGCTCCTGTGCACCAGGCTGAGCTCCAACACCTGCTTACCTGCTCCATGCAGGCGTGGAGGGCACGGCCGCCAGGAACTTCTCCTGCTTCATCTACGATGCCGATTTCCTGAACTGCACCTGGGCTCGGGGGCCAGTTGCCCCCGTGGATACCCAATACTTCCTGTTTCTGCAGGATTCTAGGTGAGTGCTGGGGTGGGGGTTGCAACTGGTGATGGCCAGATGAGGGAGAAAAGGCTGAGATTGGGATTTTTTAATGCACGCCTGTGGGATGCTGCAGGAGCCAAGGCAAGAGGGAAACAGAATGCCCCGGGTACCTGAAGGAGGCGGGCACGAACCTGGGCTGCCACCTACACGGCCTGTCCAGGTGGCCCTTCTACACCTACTTCCTGGTCAATGGCAGCAGCCGGCACATGCACATCCAGTTCTTCGATGCCATACTATCCACCAAAGAAATAGGTGAGCACCATGAATGGATGCTTGCTGATGGCATCTACTGTTTTGGGGTGGGCTTGGGGTTGATTGATTAATTGATTGATTGATGTCTGCATATCAGAGATGGAGAGTGAAGTTCCATCTGCTGGTTCACACTCCCAAATGTCCCCAACAGCTAGGGGCTGGACCAAGCTGCAGCCAGGAGCTCCACCTGGGTCTCCCAGCTGGGTGCAGCAGATACACAGGGCCCTGGGCCATCCCCACTGCTGCTTCCTCCCAAGTGTGCACGAGTAGGGAGCTGGGGTCAGGAGTCAGGAGCTCCATCTGGGTCTCCCTTATTCTGGCTGGCAGGGAGTGGTCAGCTCTGTCCTGGGAGGCCAGCAGGGGACAACAGTGGACACCACTTAGCCCCAGGGTGGTCTGTTCCCCTACAGAACGCTTCAGCCCTCCGGCCAACACCAGTGTCCACTGCAACGAGTCCCACTGCCTGATCCAGTGGCTGCAGCCCAAGACCCAGCAGCGGCTGTCATATCTGGACTTCCAATACCAGCTGGACATCCAGAAGGAGGTCTGTGGTGTCTCCTCAGAGGTCCCTAAGGTGAGGGTGGGGTAGGGAATGCAGGTGCATGGGAGCTGTCACTCAAGCACCTGCTTCCTCTGGTTGAATTCACGAAACTCTTGGAAATCCCCAGGATTGCAGAAGGTGAAACCTTGAATTTTTCTGTATTTTTGTGTTGTTGTCTAGAACATGGAACCTGGCAGCTGGAACCCCCTGGTAAGTTTCATATCGTGTTTAAATTTTATTGATCAGTCCTGGCTGATTGATCCCTTCTATAAAACACTTGTGGGCCCAGATGCACACTTGGGAGGCAGCAGCAGAGAATGGCTCAGTGCCTTGTTTACATGACCCAGATGGAGATCCTGGCTGCTGACTTCAGCTCTCTGCTCATGCACACCCTGGGAGGCAGCAGCAGGTGATGGCTGCAGGTCTTGTGCACCTGCTGCACCAACATGGGAGACCCGGATGGAGATCCTGGCTTCTGACTGCAGCCTGGCCCTGCACGTGCTGTTTTGTGCATTTGGGGGAGTGAACCAATTGATGCTTGCTTGCTCTCTCTCTCTCTCTCTCTCTCTTGACCCCAAGGTTGAAGTATCTGGTGCATCAGAGAACAAATACAACTTCCCCAGCCTGCAGCCCAGAGTCAGGCACTGGGTGCGGGTCCGAGCTGCGGATGCCAGGGTCCTGGGCTGGAGCCCCTGGAGCCAGCCTGTGCACTTTGGTAATGGCTGCATAGCTTTCAGGGGTCCAACCCCTGGTGTGGGCAGTTGCCAGCAACACCTGGCAGACCCAGGACCTCCCCATTCTGGCTGCCCTTCTTCTGATCCAGCTTCCTGCTTGTACACATCTGGGAAGCAACAGCAGGGGATGGCTCAGGTCCTTGTGTACCTGGTGCATGCATGTGGGAGACAGATGAAGCTCCTGGCTCCTGCCTTCAGCTTCCTGGTCATGCACACCTGAGAGGAGGCAGTAGGGGATTGTCTATGTGCTTGTGTACTTGCTCCACCTACCTTGGAAGCCCGCATGGGGCTCCTGGATGCTGACTGCAGCTCCCTGCTCATGCACACCTGGGAGGCAGCAGCAGGGGTTGGCTGAGGTGAACCAGCTGCCTGTCGACAGCACATGCCACCTTGCACCAGCCCATACCTATTGTGTCTCCACCTGCAGGCTCTGACACAGAGGATGGCGGCCTGCTGCGTGTGTCCCTGCTTGTGGTCTTGGGGACCCTTGTCTGCACCCTTGTGTTGGGCTTTCTCGCTAAAAGGTAATCCCCCAGATGCATGTGGCCCAGTCATCCACACAGGCAAGGTGTCCCTAAATGGCCACAACAGCAGAGCTGGGCCAGGATGAAATCAGGAGCCAGGAGCTCCATCTGGGTCTCCCATGTGGGTGCAGTAGGTGCTCATGGCCTGAATCATCTCCTGTTGCCTCCTCTCAGGTATGCATGAGCTGGTAGCTAGAGTCAGGAGCTAGGAACTCAAGCAGATGTGCTGAGATTTGAAAAGGAGGTGGGTGTGGAGGGCTGACTCTGGGTGATGGATAGAAGGTTTTATAAGGTCCCATCCAGAAGGTTCCTAGCTGTGACTGTTCTTTTCCTCCCAGTCTCCTATTTCTTGCATCCCTTACAATGGCAGTGCTAAGATTTGTAAGGGAGATGAGTGTGGAGGACTGAGCCTGAGTGATAGAAGGGTCCAGAATGTTCCAGGAGCTTCCTGGCTGTGAATGTACTTTCCCACCCTGTCTTTTGTTGTCTGCATCCCTCATGATGGCAGTGCTTAGATTTCCAAGGGACCTGGGTGTAGAGGGCTGAGCCTCTGTGACACACAGAAGGTTCTAGAATGTTCCTAGCTGTAACTGTACCTTCACACTGTCTCCTGTTTCCTGCATCCCTTATGATGTCAGTGCTGAGACTTGCAAGGGAGATAGGTGTGGAGGGCTGAGCCTTAGTTACAGATGGAAGGTTCCAGAACTTGCCATACTCACTCCTCTATTCCTCTCCCCACCCCAGGTTCTTCAAAATGTGTGGCCTCTTGTCACCAATCCCGCATGTGAAAGACAAATTGAATGACCAGCAGGATCTTGAGCACCAGGTGGGTGTCAGGGAGGAGATACAGGCTGAGCCCCTGAGCCCTTCCCTATTGCCTCTTCCCATGTGTGCATTAGTACAGAGCTGCAGTCAGCAGCCAGGAGCTCCTTTCGGGTCTCCCATGTGGGTACAACAGGTGCACAAGGCCCTGAGCCATCCCCTGCTGCAGCCTTCCAGGTGTGCATGAGCAGGGAGCTGGATGGGAAGTGGAGCCACAAGAGCAACTGACTGCCCGTGCCCACCTGTGCATCTTTCCTCCAGGTTGCCTGGGACGAGTTCCCAGTGGGTTCCGGTAAATGTGAGAATGAGGAGGTGCTGACAGTACAGGACGCTGGACAGGCCTTGGGGGCCAGAGCATGAATTGGCAGGTGCATGCTTTCTAGAAGCTTCTGGACAGGTGTGGGAAGTTATTCTGTCTATCAGGTGGGGGCTAGGACCTGTATCCTGGGGATATCATCCTGTCTATCACATGAGGATCAGGACCTGGACATCCTGACCTGGTCATGCCCATTTGCACTGCAGACAACAGGGAACATGGTTGTAAGAGACCAAATCTGAGGAACTGACTGACCATGGTTTTGCTCATCAGGATGTGGGAAGGAAGGCTGAGCCGTCTGTCATGCCGAGTCTGCCCCTTGCATCTGGCTGTGGTCTCAGGTCAGCAGCATCTCAAGTCTCCCGTTTGTGGAGTGAACCAGCAGAAGCTAGCCCTTTCTCTACCTTTTCAATAAATTTACATAAATTTAAATAAATTAAGTATTTTATATAATTTTTTGAAAATTGATATGGATTTCAATAAACATATGGATTTCTGGGGTTGGCGCTGTGGTGTAGAGGATAAAGTCACCAACTGTAGTGCTGGCATCCCATACTGGCACCGGTTCTAGTCCCAGTTGCTCCAGTTCCCATCCAGCTCTCTATTATGGCCTGGGAAAGCAGTAGAAGATGGCACAAGTCCTTGGGCCCTTGCACCCACATGGGAGACAGGGAGGAAGCTCCTGGCTCCTAGCTTCGGATTGGTGCAGCTCCAGCTGTTGCAGCCAATTGGGAAGTGAGCCAGCGAGTGAAAGACCTCTCTCTCTCTCTGCCTCTCCTACTCTCTGTGTAACTCTTTCAAATATATGAATAAATCTTTTAAAAAACCACATGGATTTCAATAAATTCACATAAATTTCAATAAACTTACATAAATTCTGTTAAATTCACATAAACCTTGATAAATTCACATACATCTAATCACTTTATATAAAGCTACATGATTTTTGCTAGGTGTCAATAAATTTTCATGGATTTCTATATTTACACAAATGTTAGTAAATTCGCATAAATTTCAGTACCTTTACATAATCTCAAATAAATTTACATATGTAAATACATAAAGATCACTGACTCCAAAACAAAAAATAAACTAAGAACCCTCATTTGGGCTTGCAGGACTGCAAGTGCTACATGGAGGGGTGGGTCTACCTGGTAAGATCATCCCCTTGCTGCCCCCAACCCCAAGCTCAAGGGCTGGTCAGCTGGGATGGTGGTCAACAAGGAAAGCCACTAGTCCAGCTGACCCCCAGAAGTCACCCTGAGCCTCAGGATGCTGGAGCAGGGGCCCCAGGGAGGTGGACATCAAAGGCCAACCCTGGTGGGCTGAACAGTCTCACATCGAGAGAGAGAGAGAGAGAGAGAGAGAGAGAGACCTTGTGTACCTGACACCCACGTGGAGACCCCGATGGAGATGAGACAGACACCTTGTGTACCTGACACCCAGGTGGAGAACTGGATGGAGATCCAGGATCCTGACTCCAGCTTCCTGCGGGTACACATCTGGGCGGCAGCAGCGCAGCAAGGGATGGCTCAGGCCCCTGCTGCACCCACATCGGGTAGACCCAGATGATCTCCTGACTGTCCAATGTGGCCATTTGGGGAGTATGTAGGGCCACCACAAAACACAACAAACAAGGAAAAAGGGAAGAGGCTTATTGACAGGGCAGGGTGGGGATTGAGGAATCTGAGACTGGAGGGAGAGGGAGAAGAAGAAAGGGGGGTCGAGAGAGAGAGAGAGCAAGGTCAAGAGAGCAAGTGTGCGGGAAGCAGGTCCTGTTATACCCTTGCAGGGGGTAGGGAAGCAGGAGCAACAAATCCCATTAGGGTGGGGTGGAGCTGATGCTTGTGGCTGGGCCATTTGGTCAGCTGACATCTAGTGAGCCAATCTGGGCTTAGGACTGAATTTACTGTGCAAGATGGTAATGGGGCCAGTGCCTAAAATGGCATCTCAGGCTTAGATGGAGCCACAGATAAGATCAAGCCATTTTACTAACAGAGTGAGCCAGCATCTCTCTCTCTTTCTGACATCAAAAAGTTAAGTAAACTAATACACATATCTTTAAAATAAAAAAAAAGTAATCAGCAGCTGTACAGGTCTTGGCCTGGGCTTATCGCACCGTGCACCAAGCACACAAGGGGCAGGTCTGCCTGACTGCCCCAGACTGGACGAGGGATCTGCCAGTCTCCCCCAAAAACCCACTTTCCCTCCCGTGCCTTCTCCGAATGGACGACTGTGGTGCCAGTCAGCCTGTGGAACTCCGCCTCCCTCTATCCACTTCCTGACCCTGACTGGACGAGGGAGCTCCCAGTAGGCGCTGAGGATTCCGCTTTCGTCCCTCCCCTGCCTGCCTCAGATTGGACAGAGGACCTGCCAGTCTGCACCCAGAAGCCTGCCCATTTCCCTTCTGCTTTGCTGAGTGGACGGGAGACCTGTCAGTCTGCTCCTCACGCCTGCTTGCCCCTGTATGGACGGCCGACCTGCCAGTCTGCACCCCAAACCCCGCCACCTTCTCCGCCATTCATGCCCCTGAGTGGACAAGGAGCCAGTGTACGCTCAGAAGCCCACCTTCTTCTTGCCCCTGCCTTCCTTGACTGGACGCCGAGGGTGCTAGTCTGAGCCCAGGAACCAGCATTCCCCTCCCCTGTCTGCCCCGACTGGACAGTGGACATGCCAGCCTGCCCCTCAGAACTGTCTACTTGTGCACAACTAGCTTCCCCTGATTGGATGCTGGGCATGCCAACTGAACCCAGAACCCTGCCCTATTCCACCCATCCCGCATTCGTTCCTTCAAGCCTCCCTATGACTGCACGGGGCACCTGTGTAGAGAACCCCGCCATTCGCCCCGCCCCTCCTCACCCCTGGCAGGATGGGAGAACTGTCAGTCTGTATCCACAACCCGCCTTCTTCCCCCATGCCTGCTTCTTATTGGACAGGAGACCAGTCAGTCTGCACCCGGAATCCAGTCTTCTTCCCCGACCCTGCCTGCCGGTTACGGGTAGGGGAAGCTCCCTGTTCCCGCTCCTGTCTGCTGCTGACAGGACGGGGACCTGCGGGTCTGCGCCCAGAAGCTCGTCCTCTTCTGACTGGACGTGGGAGATGCCAGTCTGCGCTCAGAACCCCGCCTGCTTCCCCCTCAGCACCCCTCCCTGCCTGCCAGGAGAGGAATCTGACGGTCCGTACGCAGAACCCGCCTGCTCCCCCCCGCCCCTGCTTCCCTCGGACCAGACGAGAGACCTGTCTGTGCCCAGAACTCGGTCCGCCTCCACGCCCCTGCCTGACACAGAACACAGAACCTGCCTCACTGCCCGTCTCCGCCAGTCCCACACTGAACTGGAGACTTCCGGTCTGCGCATAGAACCCCGCCCCCGCCCCTGTTTGTGCCAGATTGGACAGGGGACCTGCCAATCTACCCTCAGAACCTCAATTCCTTCAATGAAACCCATCATCATGAAAATATTTTTCACACTTGTGTCCCAGAATGTCTTCTTTGTAGCAGTCATGCTGCTCTCCAGTGCATTCATGGTGATTTTCTTATCTAGCCATCAAAAGAGGTCTCGATACCTTCAGAGCATGAAGGTTTTACCAAGAACCTCCTCAGCAAAAAGAGCCACCCAGACTGTTCTGCTGCTGGTGAGTTTCTTTGTGGTCATGTACTGTTTGTATATTATCATCTCCTCTTCATCAGCCATTTTGGGGAAATATGATCCAGTTATCCTGGATGTCCAGAGAATTGTGTGCAATGTCTATGCCACTGTCAGTCCTTTGGTGTTTATTAATTCTAATAAAAGGATAGCTGCCATTCTGCAAAACATGATTTATATGACATCAATTTTGAAAAGTCGGTGAATCAAATTTGAAAACCTAATTTATAACACTGTTAAACATTTTAAAAATCCATGATTTAAATCTAATTTAAATATGTAAAATTATACTTTTATTTTTAACTTCTATCTAAATTTTTTTCTCTGACACTGCCAACAAGATGAGTCTCTTAGTCAAAGGTCTAAATATGTATCTCTTACAGTTTCCTGACTTAATGCAGGAAATTATTTTTTCTTTCTTTTTGAGTGTAAAACTAATGGAACTCCGTTTGGTACCCAATCCTGAAATATTCGTTTTTTCCAAATGTTCAACAAATGATATTCTTACTGCAGAAAGGAATCTAAATTTACCTTTGTTTATTTTAGGCATATTAACAAAGTATCCCATTCAAACTGTAATGATATTTTCCCTATGATCTGTTTTTATTTAACTTTTATTTAATGAATATAGATTTCCAAAGTACAGCTTATGGATTACAATGGCTCCCCCCCCCCCAATAACTTACCTCCATCCGCAACCATCCCCTTTCCCGCTCTCTCTCCCCTTCCATTCTTATCAAAATTCATTTTCAATTTACTTTATATACAGAAGATCAGTTTAGTATATATTAAGTAAAGATTTCAAAAGTTTGCACCCACATAGAAACACAAAGTGAAAAATACTGTTTGAGTACTAGTTACAGCATTAAATCACAATATAAAGCACATTAAAGACAGAGATCCTACATGAGGAGTAAGTGCACAGTAACTCCTGTTGTTGACTTTACAAATTGACACTCCTGTTTATGGCATCAGTAATCTCCCTATGCTTCAGTCATGAGTTTCCAAGGCTATGGAAGCCTTTTGAGTTCACCAACTCTTATCTTATTTAGACAAGGTCATAGTCAAAGTCGAAGTTCTCTCCTCCCTTCAGAGAAAGGTACCTCCTTCTTTGAAGACCTGTTCTTTCCACTGGGATCTCATTCAGAGAGATCTTTCATTTAGGTGGTTTTTTTTTTTTTTTTTTTTTTTTTTTTTTTTTTTTTTTTTTTTTTTTGCCAGAGTGTCTTCGCTTTCCATGCCTGAAATACTCTCATGGGCTTTTCAGCCAGATCCGAATGCCTTTAGGGCTGATTCTGAGGCCAGAGTGCTCTCTCCTTTATTTATTCTATCGGTTAGTATTAGCAGGCACTAGACTTGTTTATGTGATCCCTTTGACTCTTAGTCCATTCATTATGATCAACTGTGAACACAAATTGATCACTTGGACTAGTGAGATGGCATTGGTACATGCCACCTTGATAGGATTGAATTGGAATCCCCTGGTATGTTTCTAACTCTACCATTTGGGGCAAGTTAGCTTGAGCATGTCCCAAATTGTACATCTCTTCCTACTCTTATTCCCACTCTTATGTTTAACAGGGATCATATTTCAGTTAAATTTCAACACTTAAGAATAACTGTGTTTTAATTACAGAATTAAACCAGTAGTATTAAGTAGAACAGACAAAAAAAATACTAAGAGGAATAACGTATTAAGTTGTTCATCAAGAGTCAGGGCAAGGGTTGTCCAAGTCACCGTTTCTCATAGTGTCCATTTCACTTTAACAGGTTTCCTTTTTGGTGCTCGGTTAGTC